ATTCTGCCAACTGCTGCTTCTGTCACTCTGACCCATACACACACACACACACACACACACACACACACACACACACACACACACACACACACTTGGATATACAGCGTTTGAATTTGCTTTGAAGCGTTTGCTGCTCTCTGAGTGTGTTTCTTCCAGCTACATCTTGAACTCCTCAAATAAAATAGAAGCCGACTTCACTGCTACAACTTTGAATCACTCTCAACAGATTATCGGTTGCTCTACTGTTTACACTGTTAAGAATATTGTTTTGTGTGTGTGTAAGTGCACGTGTCAGTCGCATTAGCAAAAATTTAGAAGGGTAGGAGCCATGTCATATCCAACTTTTACTTGAAGTTGCTAACTGAATATGTTTATAAAAAATTGTCTTTAAGTACTGAACTCAACTCTGTCTGTATGTTAGCAAAATATCTAAAGAACAACTGGACGGATTTTAACAAAACTTTTAGGAAGTAACCATTAGATGTACATCTACACATTTGGTGGTTGTCAGCTAATCAACCTCAGCCAGCACAAAAATGGCTATAACTTAGCCAAACATTGGGCAAATTTTGGTGTGGCACTAGCTGAGTCATCCTCAACACATACTCTGAGAGCCAGTGCATTCTGCAGGATCAAACATTGTGTAATTTACAATTTTTATGTCATCTTAAATCCTTAAAGGGATCCCAGATTAGTTGTAACATTAGACTTTATTTGCTAAACATTTACTTTAACTGTAAATAGCCTGTTAACCTTCACACTAGCGCCAACGCTATATTGCCTTATATGTATTAGCTCGGTGCTAGTGCGACAAACAGACAAGCTTAACTGAGGTCCTCCATCTATATTTTCAGTTCAGAGTCATTTTTGCGTTCCCCTCTCTGTCATGTGGATGGAGGACCTCAGCAATGAGAGGAGAATGTGTAGCACTGAGCTAATACATATATATGGTGATAGCGTCGAGAGTTAATGCTAAACCTAACAGGCTAAGCTGAGGTTCTTCCTTCATAAAGTAGCTCTGTTGTCCTCTATCCATATTGTCCAAGATTAACCTTCAGGGTGGATATACAGTAGCTCGCTCACACCGAGGACCTATCCACGTCATCATTTACCCAGAATGCTTTGTGTGTAAATAAAATGGCCCSGTCSGTGTAATATATTTTTAAACTTTTAGTTTAAAATTTATAAAAACTAAACAGCCTACAGTATTCTTACAGTCTTTATTTTACAGTTAAAATATATGTTTATYAAATAAAGTCTAATRTTACAACTAATTATGGATCCCTTTAAATTAGACTTTTTGTAAGAAAACACCAAAAAGAAGTAATAAAAAAGCTCAACACAGACAAACAAAAAAAATGATGTTTTCATAAAGTTCTTTCATGTAACCTTGTTTCATAGGAAGTGAACTAAAACAAAAGATCTAAAATAAAAAAAGACATTAAAAACATAAAATGAAGCAGTTTATTTTTTGAGGTTGTTTGATCACACCGAGTGATCGACGAGTCTGTAATCATACAGTCCCTCTGAATTTAACTTTTGTGTAACAACATAAAGAAAGAACTGTGAATAACTGGAGAAGAAAACCTGCCTTCATGTGAGATGAAGGTAAGGATCGAGTGTTATCGCCGTGTCTTTTTTCTTCGTGACGTTAGAAAAGTATTTAGTGAAGGTCGGTAGTTTGCTGCAGCAGACTGTTCCAGAAAAGATCGCAGAGGCAAGATGACACATCCTTTGTCTGTGAAAGCAACACGCCGATGTCTTTGTGAGACAAGGATAACTGTCCGAGAGTCTTCATTTGTCTTTCTGTGTTTCTCTGCCAGTAACCTTGGAGGAGCAGGAGTGTGTTCTCATTCTCTTCCCTCCCAGCAGGAGAACTCATTCAGTCTCTCCTGAGCCACCTACACGCCACACATCTCGTCTTTAGTTCTTTGCTGATGAAATGTGCAGAACGACGCAACGTATTTATCGTCTGCTGCCGAAAGATGAAGGCAGATGATG